TGAATCCTCGTTTATTTCACTGCTCATTTGTCTGTGCTTAATTGATAGCAGTTAAATCCCTTTCACCATGTTGGCTGCATTGCTGTGGGGCCTATGTGTGCTTACAGGGGCTTTCAGGCCAGACTAAAATACTTCATGGACACTGGGCCTCACAGACTGCAGGCGTTCACGCTGGACACACACCAACACAAGACGCAGGACAGACATATGAGGCTGTAAACTGCATAGCTTCGAAAGAACAAAAGCTTTTAAACCCAAATTTTGGAAGCACACTTCATAAGAAAACCTTTTCTTGAGTCTCGAATGCCAAAGGAATGTGCTTCCAGATTCTCAACAATGCATTTATAGGCACTTATTTTAGCTTGTGAAGATTCCCAAACAAGGAATTCTGCAGTTTCCAATGGATTAATCACATTTCTAAAATACAGAATTATCTGTGGCATGCTAATCAATTCGCTTTAGGACATACTGGCTATACAACCACATTTATAATTCATACATACGAGTTCCCAGTTTAATATGAGACCAAATATTCACTAGGGTTCAAATCTGGAGTTTGACCAAGGCAAAAACATGGTGGACTTCTTGGTTATCTTTGCAATTTGAGTATGAGCATTGTCTTGTTGAAAAATAACATCTGATCATTTCTCTAGATAACAACTTTTCATTTGTGCATGGGAAGCAAGCCATTCTGCAATATTCTCCTGTAGTCAAAATCATTAAATGCCTTTTCAGTGAAGTAACACACCAATACCAGCAGCTAAACACAATGACTCTCTTCCTCCATGCTTCACTGTGATAGAGATGTATTCAGCAGATTTTCAAAGACCGCTCTGGAGCACCAGCAAACAACTTGTGTTTCGTTTAGGGATGCACCGATATGAACATTTTGGCTGATACCGATAACCGATAATTATTTTTATTCGAAAGCCGATATATATCAGCCGATAAATCTAAATCCAATTTTTATATAATTTTTGAAATCCTGATTGCAAAAACAAAAGTCTCACAATTAAAATCCGTCCCCTAACACAATTGTAATGTTCTCAGGTGTCAAGTGTTGAAGGAATTAATTCATTATTTATCAGCTTTAATAAATCAGCCAAATTTTATTATCAGGCCGATAACGATAACAGAATATATTATTTTTATTTCATGCCATGTCAGCAGTCAAAGCTATTTTGATGGCAAGAATTCATTTACAAAAATACAAATATCATATAAATACAACAAAAACAAAACAAATATAAACAAGTAGTCATATTATACAATAACAATATATGTTTTTAAATTAACATATGATAAAAAAAAATCCAGAACCTTTTCAGGCATAATCTCATTAAATATGTCCTTCAAACAAGTAACTTCATAAAAGAGCATTCTACTTGCGTTAAGTCCAGGACAATCTAATAAAAAATAGGCCGATAACGATAACATAAAAATGAGCAAATATCGGCCGATACCGATATGGTGGCCGATATATTGTGCACCCCTAGTTTCATTGCGATTCATCACTCCACACACAACTTCTCATTAACTTTTTCTGAAAGAGCAATGGCTTTTTAGTGCATTTGAGTGCACCAATAATTTGTAATTAAGACAATAAAAAAAAAGTTTTTTTAAACAGCATACTAACACACAGCTCTATTTATTATGTGTAGGGTGCACAGTATGCAAATATTCTGCATACAATATAAAACGAAATGACCAACTAGATTTGACAAAATTAACAGTTCATACTTTGTTTCATAATTTAAAAATCTGATCCAATAATGAGATGCTAAAATAAAGTTATGGTTCATCCGTAACTCTAAAAATGGATGGTCAAGTGAAGCACTTTGCTTTGTGCCATACATAATCTATACATATTATATTTAAAATATTGACGTTATAGAAAACCTAAATATCCGAATGCAACTCACTCAATTAAACATGCAACATGATGTGCATAATGCAGCACACAGTGTTTCCAATTTAGCGACTTTGTTGCTAGATTAGCGACTTTTCAGACCCCTTTAGCGACTTTATTTTCCTTCAAAAAAGCGACAAATCTAGTGACTTTTTGGACTGCTGGCAAACATAGCCAGTCGCCATATCATACTCTTTCATCACTGTATCGTCATACTGAAAATTTGCAAATGAGAACAGTTTTTTGGACATTCGGCTTTATATTGTATTAAAATATGTGGTGTAAAGTACCAACAGTTGGAGCATTGCTTCATCAATTGACATTTAGCCACTTTTTTAGTCGACTTTAGCTACTTTCCATTCAGAGTTGGCAGCATACGACTGTCTGAAATTTTTATCAGGCATTTTAAAAATCAGTATGCATTATACGTTATATACAGTGCCACATTCAGGAAGTAGTGTGCTAATATTATAAACATAACTCACTCCAACCGGAAGAAACATCAGTGCTGATTCTTAGAAAGGCCATTGAATCCACAGAAACCAACAACACTACAGTTTAGATATTCAATTTCACACACTATTTATGTCTTGGCCATCTAAAAATCCCTACAATCCTCAATGAATCAGGGAGAAAACTAAAGTTCATGGGTCAGATAATGGGAAATTAATTAGAGCCAGACCGATATATCGGCCGATATTAGGCATTTTCTAAAATATCGGTATCGGCAGTTATAATGGCCGATAAATGAATATTTAAAAAATAAAATAAAAACGGACAAATCACGCAGCTTATAACTGTAAGGCAATGTAGGGGCTAATTATTATTTTATTTATCAGAATTTTTATATTTTTTGATGTTCCTCTGTTCTGTTGTGACAATAGAAACAAGTTTCTTTTTAAAATGCATTATCATATTATTTTAGTTAAAACTCATAAATAACTACAAATAACTAATGTTAGGGAAATCTGTCAATATTTTGTTGTGCGTTTCTGAAATAATAATAATATCGGCCGATATAACGGAATATCGGATTTTAAAACCAACAAATATTTGTATCGGTATCAGCCTTCAAAATCCTTTATCGGTCTGGCTCTAAAATGAATGTCTCATTCTAACAGCCAAAATGTCATGTTATATATACAGTAACCCAAAGAACTCTAAATGTGCTTCAAATCAAGTATACAGGTTTCCTGCCTTCTTGGCATGTTCAGAACTACATTTAGTTATTATGTTTCCTGAACAATCAATGAGTCTAAATGAAGTAAAGAATGAAAGACGCAACTTTTCCAAGAGTGCAAGAGCTACAGTACAGCAGCTGTCAAAACACTAATTAAAACACTGTTGCAATAACAAATACAAGAGATAAATATAAAAAAAACATAAAAAGATAGATAAACTCAGTTCTCTAGTCAACCATTGTGACCAACCCCTGCTGTTTTTCCCCCAAATATCCACTGCAGTCTGATTATAAACAGCCATCACAAGCGTCTCAGGGGAAAACAGGCTGTGATGATAAAACACAAGACAATTTGACATCACACTCTGTTAGCTGAAAGGGATTCTGGGTGGTTTCTGTGGTGTCATTTTAGTGAAAAATATGTCTTCTGTCCAACAACACAGTAAACTGACAGAACAAGAAACCATGATTATCTGTATGACTCTGAATCATCTGTGTGCTACTGCATTTATGTATAAAGCAAAGATATTCTGTATTAATCCAATGCGAGCCACTTTGTGGAAAGAAGGAGTCTTGCTTGATGAAATGAGTGTACTCCAGGGAAAGCTAGAAGGTTGTACAGTTAACTCCCATGGTGTCATTCGAAACCATACAACCTACTACCTCAGCCTGGATGCACACGTCCACACTGCTGTTCCTCTGGACCTCCGGGAGCAAAAGACATCTTTCGGAGAAGGAATTCATTCGTTTTGTTTTATATCACATGACGCATTTGCAAATTCTCAACATATTATCCATTTACAGCAGTGGTTCTCAAACCTTAAATGGTCCATGATATGATTCGCTCATTAAATTGACAAAAAGCACCAACATTGAATTTTTCGACTGATTGATCAACATGGATTCATAGTGTTAAAGGGGTCCTATTATGCCCTTTTACAGTCTTTTTTTTTACATTTTTTTTTGGGGTGAACTAGAATATGTTTTCATGTTTGATTGTAAAAAATAAATAAAAAATTAACATATTTTACAGAACGCACCGTCTAGGTCCTGTTTTCGATGAAGCCCCTCCTTCCGAAATACGAAAAGTGCTGTGATTGGCTGGTCCAGTGTGTCATGATTGGTACCGACTTTAAAACTGCGAGTTTTATCAACTCAGATACAAATATTAAGGATGACATACATTTCAAACCTGATTCAGACCCTGACAATGTTTTCGAAGAGAGCGAGAGATTACAAATGCAACAGAAAACAAACCGTTCTCCATAAAACGTGCGGCGCACAGATAAACATTGGGGTTATAATGTTCAGGAACAGAGTTTAAAATACATTTAAACTACTCTAAGTTTGTCAGTCGCCCTTAGGATGGTCAAATAAATTAGCTTTGGAAACGGGGTGGAAAAAACATTGTCTCTGTGACATAGTGACAACACTGTCTTCTCTAACGCAGCTCAACCAGCCTGCCTCGTCCCCTTTTTGGGATATTCTGTAGGCACGGATTATTTAAATGAGTAACATTGGAAAAATTGAGTTGTAGTCCAAACAAGTGGATTCTGTTAAATAAAATATCTCCTTTCTCCTCTTTGAACTTTGTAACTTTGCATATCTTATTTATGCTTTTCCGAATGCTTTAATGTTGTGGCCTGCAAAAATCTGAGAAGCACTGTTCAAGAGTTGAGTTCACCACAGTGACAGAGACCCACAGAATCGAGCTTGGGTTGCCGATAACGCCACAAGATCGGATCTACGGGTTTGTGACAAGTGGTCAAAGCTTTTTATGAAACCCAATCCCGGGTCATACTCATGTTCCCGACTCTGAGGATGAGCTATCAGGTGAGATAAACCACAGCGATATTCCCCTGCATGAACAATATAGAACATGGGAGAAAGACAAAACCATCATCCACTGACCTGGTTAGGTTTCAGTAGTGGTGGTGTATCTGCATCTTCTCCAGATTTTTGTGCTGTGAAAGGAAAGAAATCACAACATTAGGAAACATTTTCATAGTAGCAAATGCATACAGTAATTCAATTCAGCATTGTGTAGAAAACGTATATTAGATGAGCAGTTCACTTTTAAAAAACTTTTGCTGATAATTTACTCGCCCCCATGTCATCCAAGATGTCCATGTCTTTCTGTCCTCAGTTGAAAAGAAATTAAGGTTTTCGATGAAAACATTCCAGGATTTTTCTCCATATAATGGACTTTAATGGGGTCCAAACGGTTCAAGGTCTAAAAGACAGTTTCAGTGCAAACTGCAAACTGTTCAAAGGGCTTTAAACGATTCTAGATGATGAATAAGGGTCTTATCAAGCGAAACGATCGCTCATTTAATAAATAGATAACAAAGTTTAAGTTTTATAAGCTCAAATGGTCGCCTTGCTCTGTTCTGTGATGCACATTTGTGAGTGATTCGTTCAAAAAAATGAACAAATCTTTTTCAATTGAGTCAATTAGTTCGTTTTGTTCGTTGAATGAACTAAATGACTCGGAAAAAGATTCTTTCATTTTGATGAACGAGTTCAAACAGGAGATTCATCAACGCGCATAGCAGAACGAGCTTATAAAACTTAAACTTTGTTATTTATTTATTAAATGAGCGATCGTTTCGCTAAATAAGAGCCTTATTCATCGTCTGGAATCGTTTAAAGCCCTTTGAACAGTTTGCAGTTTGCACTGAAACTGTCTTTTAGACCTTGAACCGTTTGGACCCCATTGAAGTCCATTATATGGAGAAAAATCCTGTTTTAAAAATTCATTAAAAACCTTAATTTCTTTTCGACTGAAGAACGAAAGACATGGACATCTTGGATGACATGGGGGCGAGTAAATTATCAGCAAAAGTTTTTTTCAAAAGTGAACTACTCCTTTAAATGTAATACAATTGACCCATTTTGTTTCCATAATATGACATATCTCAGAGTGAAACAGGATATTTAAAGATCGGGACTTTTTTTTGTTGAAAAATAAGAGGGCTTGATGATGTCATCTAAAAAAAGGAAAAGTTATTTCAGAGGCAGAGAAAATTATCAAATTTTTCACTGGTAAATTAAATACAATAACACCAGGAACAAGCATATATTAGGTAGGTACCTCTGTACAATCTGACAAATATCTAACACAAAGGTACCGTAAAGTGCTTCACCCATCATATTTTCACTTTAATCACAGTGAATGTTTAGATGGCTACACAAACACTCTGGCTTGAGAATATTGGTGAAAAACAGCTTGTTCAAACACATCCCTGATGCTAGAGAACGCCATGAGTGCCCGTCAACAAGAACACAGAGGTTTTAAAAGACAACACACACACACACGCTGGTGGTAAAAGAGAGCATTTCATGATCATCTGCTGTCCTGACTGCCTCACCTTCACTGGATGTGAACCCTCAACTCACAGTACACTCGAGCCATGCCGGCCCATTCATTCGCAGACTTTTTTTGGAGTTTCGGAAACAGTTTGAGCACCATTTTTACTCCACGTAAAACCACCTTTGAGGTTCAAAATGAACAAATCAGAAAGTCTGCGGAGTCCGCCATTTTCTCAGCAAGGAAGAGACGAGAGGAAAAAAAGAGAAAGGACTCTCACAGCATCGCTTTCCAAGTTTCTCCCTTTCTGCCCTGGCACCCTCACAAAACCTTCACATGATGCTGCTCGAGCCCAGATGCATTCAGCTGATGTCGAGTAGACATCTTTTGTCTAAAATAAAACCTTTCGCTGAGCATTTCACGAAAAAAATACCTTCCTGGGGGGCTGGAAAGGGGTGGCGCTGGGAGTCATGGCAACCTTTACCTGGCACGATGCCCGTGGCAAGAACAGGAGGACAGAGAAGGCACTCTGAAGATATTCGTCTCTATATATTTTAACGATGCTTTTCGAGTAATTCTTGAACGAAGCTGCACTGGAGTGAATTCGCTTGCAGACGGTGCCCTCCTGATGCCTGTGAATGGAGCGACTTAGTGAAGCTTTATTTCAAATACACAGACAGCGATTCATCATCCATCCGTGAGTCATAATTGTAGTTGCATGATGTAGTTTCCCGCTCGGGCTTTATAAAGTGTGATAGCAGATTACGGGGCAGATATGTGGGCGTTTCCTGCATCTCGTTATGAGATCGCAGATGACCTCTGTCTCTCGACAGCCTCAGAGTTGAGGTGAGAGCAAGAGGAACAACTATAGTTAACAGGGGAACTTAACTATCATTTCACTGGCAACAGGGTTTGTTTTAAAAGTTGTGAAGATTAAAGGTTTATATACCTTACAAACGGAAAGAACAATAGACAGAATGATCGATAAAACAATAGTTAGATAGATGATAAAAAATAATCGTAATTTTAACGGTAAAATACCATTTTTTATTTTTACTGTTACCGTAAAAATGAACAGAAAGTTTCCGATCACTTGCTGAATTTACTCACCCCCATGTCATCCAAGATGTCCATGTCTTCCTTTCTTCAGTTGAAAAGAAATTAAGGTTTTTGATGAAAACATCCCAGGATTTTTCTCCATATAATGGACTTCAATGGGGACCAAACGGTTCAAGCTCCAAATGAGAGTTTCAGTGCGGCTTCAAAGGGCTTTAAACGATTCCAGACGATGAATAAGGGTCTTTTCTAGCCAAATGATCGCTCATTTAAAAAATAAATTAAATAGTTTAAGTTTTATAAGCTCAAATGGTCGCCTTGCTCTGTTCTGTGATGCGTGTTCGTGACTCTCCTGTTCATTAAAATGAACGAATCTTTTGAGTCATTTTGTTCATTCGTTATATGGAGAAAACTCCTGGAATGTTTTCATCAAAAACCTTAAATTCTGTTTGACCGAAGCACATCTTGGATGAGTAAATTATCAGCAAAAGTATTTTTAAAAGTGAACTAATCCTTTAGGAGAAGCGTCTCACTGAACTGAACACACAATATGTCATGACACCCTGATGCCTCTGTCCAGAGCAGCAACAGACCAAATAAAAATGAAACACAACACTGAGTTAATAATACTAGACGTTTGGATTTGATCACCCTGAACTCATCCACCCTTGTTCCTGGATGGATGAATTTCTCAACACACTCTGACAGCAGAAAAACAGTCAGCAGATCTGCATCAAACCACAAGAGATGCTCTGTTCAAGTTGATGCATGCGAGCATATATTGGTGTGGCCCTGTGTACACAAAAACAATGAAGTGGGAAAAGATGATTTCTAAATCTAGTCCTTGTCTGCAAATTGAAACTCAATTTATAAAACAAGTTTAAGGCAGAATGTAATCTTTCCATATAAAATGACTCGCTGCAGTTCAGTCATGAACAAAACTGTGCTACATCATCAGCTAAATCACAATCAGCAAATGACCAACTGTACAACTAGATTTGACAAAAAAATCAGAGGTATATTTTTACAGACTGCTATAGAAAGAGCAAAACAACTGGACTCCAGTCAGCCAAAGGTGGATTTGCAGTTATCATTTTGTGTCAATATGCTGAATTTAGCTGTAAAACCATACCCATATATATTGTATTGCTATATAAATATTAACAACTCATCAATTAAATATTTATCATTGCATATTCTGCATTATTGGATGTTTTTTTAAATAAACACTAACAAAAAAAAACTATAAAGTTTTATGGCTGGGCGATATGATGATATATATAGGCTATATATAACACTGATATAAGTGATCACCCGGATTTAGACCTATATTGTATTTATATTAGGGCTGTGCAAAAATTAATTGCGATTAATCGCATCCAAAATAAAAGTCTGTGTTTACATAATATATTTGTGTGTGCTGTATATAATTATTTTGTATATATAAGTACACACACATGCATGTATATATTTAAGAAAATGTGTTATTCATGTATAAAATATTTATATTTATATAATATAGATTATGTATATTATATATATATATATATATACAGAATTTAAGCGCAAATAATTCTTAAATATATACATGCATGCATAGGTATTTATATATACAAAATAATTATATACAGCACACACAAATATATTATGTAAAGACAGACTTTTATTTTGCATGCGATTAATCGCAATTAATTTTTGCACAGCCCTAATTTATATAAAGCGTTACATATGTTTAGGTCTATATTGCTTTTATTTTCCCGGTGTCGAAATCAGGCAAACATAAATGTCAGGCAACACGATTCCTGGCTGTATGTCAATATCCATGGATCACTGGATCTGGAACACTATATTGAGTCCAACATTTAGTTTAAATTGATAAAATTGTTTGTTTTAGTCGCATTTTCCCCTATTAAATCCAGTCACGCAGCAGATCTTTTGCCACTCAGACAGGCTGAGGGAGAAGTGACGTCAATGCATTCCCTCTATACAAGATGTTTGAGCTTCCTCATACTAAACTACAGGGAGAATCTGTCTCATAAACTATGTAATACAACGTTAAGTCTGTTTGTGTGTGTGTGTGTCCTAATGGTGCACAGTGGGCTGATATATTCCATGAAGATGCAGGCCTGTGAGGATAAACTATTTTCACGTCACTCTGGACCAGCAGGACCAGTAAATTCTGCCACGGGGTATGAGACATCAGACAGGCACACCACAGCACTCAAACACAGCCCGCATACAACAGGGGAAGCAATTGCATTCATGCAGCAAAACGCATGTTCTCCTCACATCATTTAGCCAGGCTGTGTCAGAAAAACACGCGGGTCTGTCGCATATCATCTGGAGGCTGATACCATGATACCGAGGAATTCTTGTGTTTACGTACTAATGCATTTACACGTTACGACAGTAACATTTAGTTAATGCATCATGATTTTTACAGCATTCATTAATCCAGGCTTATGTTACTTCTTAGATTTGTGTTAATAATACATGAACTATTTTAATTAGCATATTTAACCCAATTTAACCCAACAGCTGGGTTTGTCCATATTTGACCCAAAATTGGGTTGAAACAACCCAGCATTTTTTAGAGTG